ATACCCCTTTGCCACGAGTCTCGCTTTATACTTCTCAACAGTGCTATCTGGATGATACTTGACTTTAAACATCCATTTACATTCAATAGCTCGTTTAGAAGGAGGAAGTGTAGTTATGGCCCAAGTCTTGTTCTCCTCTAAAGCCTGCAATTCCTTATGCATAGCATCTTCCCACTCAGATTGACCTTGTGCTTGTGCATAGGAGTATGGTTCACGGATCTTGGAAATATTGGTAAGAAAAGACAAATGTGAAGGAGAAATGGTAGAATTGCTGACAAAAGGAAATGTTTGAGGTGGTGTAAAGGTGGACTGAGTAATAAAAGTGGCATAATCATTAAGCCATACTGGTTTTCGCTTAACTCTTGTACTAATTCTTCTGACAAGTGGTGCAGGAGGAGATGAGGTAATAGGTAATCTATGAGGAGAACTTGTGAATGGTGAGAAAGAAACAGAGGAAGATGTATGAGAATAGGATAAATCAGAGTTTTGTGGTATGGAAGTAGAATGAGTTTCTGATAAGATTTCTGTATTAGGAGAAGGAACAGAAATATCAGAAAGAACATCCAAATGTGTGATCACAGGTACTGAAAACTGAGAGGATGTATTGACAGTTTTGAAAGGAAAAATATGTTCCTTGAACACTACATCCCTTGAAACATGAACTTTGTGGTCATCTAGACAATATACTTTATAGGCTTTTTGACCTTTTGGGTACCCAATGAAGACTCCTTTAAAGGCTCTAGGAGAAAATTTGTCCTTATGAGGGTGGTTGTTAGTGAAGAAACATAAACAACCAAAGGTTCTAAGATGATCATAAGAAGGAACACACTCAAACAATAGTTCAAAGGGTGATTTCCACCCTAAAAGAGCTGTGGGTAGTTTATTTATCAAATGTAGCTGTCAAGATTGCATCTCCCCAGAATTTCTTAGGTAATGATGCTTGGAACATAAACGATCTAGCAACTTGAAGTAGATGTTTGTGCTTTCTTTCAACAACACCATTTTGTTGAGGTGTGTATGCACAAGATTTCTGATGTAAAATGCCAAGGTTAGAAAACAGAAGGTGACAATCATGATTGATGAATTCTGTTCCATTATCAGTCCTAATGGTTTTGACTATTTGCTTAAACTGATTTTTAGTCATAGCAAAGGAACTATCAAGTGTTTGAAGTACTTGAGTTTTATATCTAATCAGAAAGGTCCAAGTACATCTACTATAATCATCCACAATGGTTACAAAGTAATGAGTTTGGGAAAGATTTGGATGTGAATAAGGACCCCAAAGATCGACATGTATAAGCTCAAAAGATGAAGTAGTATGAATATGACTAGAAGGAAAATTAAGTCTTTGCTGTTTAGCAAGTGGACAAATCTCACAGCAAAATTCATTGTTTACATCAAGATTCAAACTATGAAGAAGTTGATTTGTTACAGCAAAGGAAGGGTGACCTAGTCTTTGATGCTATTGGGCATTCAAAGCTACTGTGGCATTATTACAAGTTATAGTGATAGTAGTTGAAGAAGGAAAGGCAGAATGAAGCAGCAAACAAGGCAAATGAAGTTGAACTTGTCTTCTGACTTCACTTGGATTGAAAGAATCTGGTGTGAGTACATAAAGTCCTTGGAAGATGGTACCAACTCCAATGATATCATTAGTCCTGAGGTCCTGTATAACACACAATTCAGCAGAAAATGTGAAATACAATTTTGCTGATTGTGCTAAGGACCTTACAGAAACAAGATTATACTTGAAAGTTGGCACATATTTGAATGTGTTATCCTATGGCTCAACTCTACAGAACCTATTTGCTCTACATGTTGGATACTTCCGTCAGGTAAAATGATGGGAGTAAGATAATCAACAGGCTTTGGTTTCAAAAGAAGAGAAAGATCATGACACATACTTTTTGTTGCACCAGTATCAAGGAACCAAAGACTTAAAAGAGCTTTACAAACATTACACAGCTTGGGAATTGTAGAGCTACCTGCGAAATCAACCAAGTGTGCAAAGTTGACAGAGTGATGATCAACTGGTCCCTTTCCTTTGAGCATTCTACAGCATTCCTGTTAAAGATGACTGAGTTGCAGAGCAATGGCATTCACATCAAAATTAGGAACAAACTCTGCATCAATAGGTGTTTTTGCACTGGCAATGTGTGCAAAAGTCTTCACAACCTGACCCTTAGCAGCCTTCTGAGCATTCTTCTTTTCTTGTAGCCATTTTGGTAAACCATTGAGCTTCCAGCAATTTTCCTTTTCATGATTATACTTCTGATGGTGTGTACAGAACTTGGTATAGTCAACTGGCTTCTTCCTTCCGTTTAAACCCTGGGACTTAGCCATAAAAGCAGCATTATCTGTAGAACCATTACTGACATATGGTACTTGATTGCTCATCCTTAGATCACCACCTTTGACAATAAGTGCTGAATTATCCATCAGAGGGATTTCAACAGATCCAGAAACTTTCTTCTCTGCTTTGTTCAACATATTATAAGCATTATTAACAGTTGGTGGTAAATCCATCATGAGAATCTGGTCTTTCTTGGTCTCATAACACCCATCAAGAATTCAATCAACTTATCCTCATTATCCCTGGCCTCTAACACTTTAGCAATATGAGGTGGACACTCAGGGAATGGTCTGTAATGGGTGTATTCATCCCAAACATGTTTAAAAGCATTATAGTATTTTATCAAAGGCATATCTCTCTACACAATGGCAATACGTCCTTTCCTCATTCGATACAAAGTCTGACTATTAGAAGTACCATATTCCTCCGCCAAATCATCCCAAAGTTCTTGTGCAGACAGATTATACATATAACTATCAAACACATCTTCACTAAGGGCAGCAGTTTTCCAAGATTTAACGGTGGAATCAGCACGCTTCCATTGATGAAAATCAGGAGAGGAAGGTGAAGGACTTACACATGTACCATCGATGAAGCCAATTTTCATCTTCAATTCAAGTACTGTACGCATAGAACTACTCCAGACAAGGTAATTCGTATCTATGAGTGAAATTGAAACAAGCTTCATACCAGGATGCTCGGACGCGTGAAGACTCAAAGCATCATCTTGAGATCTCCAACCGCCATTGCCACGAGCTCCCTCCATTCGCAGATTTTCTTCAAACTCACGATCTGCCATAACCAAGAACTAAAACAGGAAAAAAAAAAAAAAACAAACGGTGAATCTGTTCAGGAAAACAAGGAGAATAAGAACTTCGGTTTCGATTTAACAGTACCAAGCTTATGGCTCTGATACCATCAAACGATTAGCTAGGGTTTGATGAATGTGTGAGAGAGAAGTCATGATCGATCAATTTGGGGAAAAATCTGTTATATGTATTCTAGAAAAGGTTAGCTTGTTCACGAAGCTTATACAGTATATATACAACCCTAACTAATGATTAACTAACTAATAAATACGGTCAAGTAGTCAACTATAAAACTAAGGACAAATATTTACACATCATGTCAATTAGGTCCCTATCTAACATCAATTTAGTCCCTGATCAATCGCCTGGATCAAAAGCATAATTCTAATCAGGGAACTCAGCTGATGGCAGCTTCATTTCACCCTTTAATTCGTTGAAAGTGGCGATTGCTGGACCGTAAAAAACACATGTATCGAATCAAATTTTGTGCTGTCCAGAAGAGAAATTGCGACGCAAATTAGCAACATGTGTTGTATCGCCTTGGCCGGGAAAGAATGCAAGTCCTCAAAGGAGTGATGTTGACTCCTGACGGCGGATCGGAGTTACATCATGAAGGCGGTTTGCGACGAGACGTCTCACAACTGTTTGTGCTGCTGTGGGTGAAAGATGTGACGACACCGGTAACTGCTGTGCTCCTTCTTTTTTGTGGTTTGGTCATAATCAAACGGAAATTTACTTATATGTATCTCAAAAACTTGAATAAGAACAAAATAGACCTAGGGTTTCAATTATCGCCAAAACTAATTGTCTCATGCTTCTATAACACAAAAATGACAAAATCGCGTTTTCAAAACACTAGAAAAAGAAAATCGCATTTCAAAAGCGCAAAAAACAGGACAAAATTAATTAATTTAAACTAATCATAATTAATTAATGGTATAAATTTTGATTAAGAAAATAATTTAAATGAATATTTTATTTAAATGAAAAAAGGAAATTGTCATAATAATTCAATTAATATGCCTAGTTTTTACATTTGTAGGCCAATTTATGAACAAAAATTATTAAATTTTAATAATGAAAAGTAGATGAAAATTTTAAAATTTTAAATGATTAAATAATTATTTAAATTTTGAATATGAATATAATATTATAATTGATAATGCTTAAATTAAATAGATTTATATTAAGTATAAATTATTAAAATTATGAAATAATTAATTTATAAAATCAAAAAAAAAATTATTTTAAAAATTTAATAATTATTTTATGAAATAATTTTTTATGAAAAAATTTCAATAATGAGAAATGACGTAATTTTATGGATTTATATTAATTAGATATAATTGGATGTACAAATTGTTTATATTAATTATGACAGTTTAAATATAAGAAAAACGCTTAAAATGTGAATAAAAATTTTAGGAAATATTTATTATTATTTATAAACGATTAAAATGAAACAACTATTAAATATTAAAGAAATAAATTGTAATTTGAAATAAAATACAATTTTTGTTTTAGATTTGATCGGCGAAGGTGCGTTTGATAAATATTAATAAAGTAGCAATGATGCATGTGAAATCATTGTTTCAGAATATTAATACAAGCCATAACAAAATACTACAAGTCATAACCAAAGCAAAAAAAAAAAAAAGTACAAGGCTAATAATATTACATAAAAAGTCTAGTACCCTACTACTTTTTGGACTTTTTAGCACGAAAGTCACTGTAAGTCAATCTATCAGGCTCCTTTGTCTCTCTCTGGCCTTTATTCAAAGCCAACAAAGGAGTCTCTAGATTCTGACTCGATCCGTGCTCCTCATAGCACTGATGACCTAACCCTCAAACTGATCCTGCTGGTCTGCTCCTCCAGCTTCATCATAAGCCTGATGTGGACCCGCAGCACCCTGGAACATACCTGAAAGATAGTCATCCGTGTAACGTAGCATCTGCCCATGTAGAGAACTCTCTCTGAACCCAGTAAGGTCCATAAATTGATCTCCAAAATGAGCTTGAGAAGTCTAATGGAAGGAAATCTGAGTGAAGGGCAAATCTGACTGAATCTCGACTCAACTGGAACCTGTCTCGGATCGGGATGACGTACAACTGGTATTCTATTGACGCACAAAGCCCGCTCAGCAACCTGGGCTATCTCGCCTAAGTGATCATAACCAAATTCATCTAGCCTGAAAGAACTCTGGCCTGTAATACTAATAGTACGAATGTCCTCATCAAAGTGGCCCTAAAATGTTTTTTAGAAATAACAGTAAATCCTTGACAATGAAAAATATTTTAATAATGGAATGTAGAAAAGAAATTGTATGAAGACTCACCATGATGCGCAAGGGCTCTGCAGAGCCGTGAAAACCGTCTGTGTTTTGAGAGTGCATCCAATCCGTAACATACTTCACAATAACCTGATGGTACAACAAGAAGTACGCCGGCACTGCCATAGGCTTACCAACAAAATTATCAATAATCCCTGTATATAAACAGTTTAATTGACTAAATAACAATTTTTATTCACTAATAATGCGTACATCATACCACAATCACAACAACAAATAATTCTATATAAACATTAGATTATTAATTCTAATTTACCGAATTTATATTACTAGTAATTCTATATAAACATTCCGTTAACTAATATTTATTTCAATTCACATTATCAACCTAAATAAAAATTTAACTATTTAATTGATTAAATCACAATTATTTATTCACTAATAATCCGTATTTCATACTAGAATAACAATCAAGCTTAAAAAATGTGGAAGAATTTTCAATCACAGAAAATAAATTACCAAAATGTTGAAACTCTTCCAGGATCAAATTACTCTTCTTCAACTTCGGGGCACCATCTCCATCGGAAGAAAATGAGAGCTTTCCAGGGCTCAATAGCTACTTTCCTTCGCAGCAAAACTCAAAATGGGAGCTCAAGAGAACAAGAAATGCTGTTTTTCACTTGGTTTTGGTATGTTATTTCACTCCAATTCGCGTGTCCAAAACGCGAAAATATTCAAGGGCTATCAGAAAAGTACACATGTCAATGAGACAGTCGTTAGTGAGATTCTCCGGATAAATTCGCGCATTAAAAACATGAAAACGCACAATTCGCGTTTCAAAAATGCTAAAACCACTTTCGCGCTTTCAAAGCGCTAAATTGGTGCACAACTTTGATTTTTTTTTTTTCAATTATTCTTATCTACCGGAAAAGTTTCCTAAACCAAAAAAAAAATCTTTCAAAAAAATAAGTTTCTTAAAAAAAAATTATTTCTCCGGATACACGTTTGCAAAGTGCAAAGAGGATTTTTAGCGTTTTCCAAACGCTATTTTCTTTTCCCCTGTTAATTTCATGTTTTTTTTTTTTGGGAAAACTAAGTTGATCTCACTTAGTGGAAGAGTCGCACTAGCCAAATCCTCATTAGCTTCATGTTGGTTTATCCTATGGGAATTTTTCAACTTCCAGCAGATACTATTCATAAAGCCGAATCTATCATTGCTCGTTTCATATGGAAAGGGGATTTACAGGGAAGAGGAGTCCACTGGAAATCGTGGAAGAAAATGAGTAAATCACAATTCCATGGTGGTTTAGGCCTAAAGTCTCTCAAGGAATTTAATCAGGCCCTTTTAGCCAAACATGCTTGGAAGATTATGTCTCAACCAACCTCACTGATCTCCAGAATGTATAGAGCAAAGTACTGTAATGATGGTGTCTTCCCATGTACCAGACCATCGCAACATTCTACCTGGGGATACAAAAGTATACTTTGGGGTGCAGAACTTCTTCAGTCCAATGTCAAGTGGAAAGTGATTTCAAGAAAGGACATTCGTGTGGTAGATGATTGGATTCCAGCACACTCAAATACCATACAACCGATTTCCATACTTGCCACTCACTCAGACCTGAGAGTCAAGGATCTCACCAGGGATAATGGACAGTGGAAGCTCCTGTCCTTAGAAATATTTTTACTGAATCGTTGATCCCCCTTCATCACAGTCATCTTCATTGATCCCGCTAAGTCTCATCATCCAGATAAGTTACAATGGATGAAAGAACAACGTGGCAATTATATGGTGAAATCCGGGTATCATGAAGCCCTCAACCTGTATAATCCTCCACCGGCAACTAATCAGCTGGCACCAAATACAATTCCACCAATAGCTTGGAAAAAAACTATGGAATTCTCGTGTTCAACCACGACAGAAAATTCTATTTTGGAGAGCTTTGACTAATGCATTGCCAACCAGAACAGCATTTCAAAGACGGGGCATTGTATCTACTACTGAATGTCCCCGATCCCTTGCACATGTTGAGGGTCCTCTCCAGCTATTTCTTACAATCCAAAGATATATGGAGACTGGCGCCACCTATTTTCTCTACTGTGTCTACTCAATCTATGCCATCCTTAGCCGATTGGTTTTCACAGTGGATCCAATCAAGACCTTCAGTTTCTGATTTGGATTTGTTCTTTATGATCTACTGGTGGATTTAGCTAGGAAGGAATGACAAACTCAGGCGGAATCAGCAACCACAGGCTGTGACACAATGGAGTCTCATCCAACATGAATTTCAGCCACGTGTCTAGATGCAACAGAAGGCAGAGACCTCCCACACAGGAGAATCCTCTACAACGACAAGAAGACGGTCATGTGACCATTCTAATAGATGGTTCCTTTGATCTCGCCTCTCGTTGTGTGGCATGAGCGTAGAAAATTACCTCCCCAAATAATATGATTATGCAAATCAAGGCTACAACACTGCAAGTTTTAACTCCTTTTCAATCGGAGGCATTAACCTGTTTATTGGCACTCCGGGAAGTTTCCAATTTTGGAATCACTTGGGTAAAGGTTTTTAGGAATTGTGAGTTGTTTATTCTTGATCTCGCACAAATACCAATCCCGACGGAAGCTCAAGAAATTGTTGCTTTACTATTTACTCTAATTTTGAATTTTTCCTTCTGTAAAATTTTCAAAGCTAGCAGGATAGATGTAGATGAAGTCCATAAATTAGCATATAACAAAATGTGTTGTAATAAACTAAGTGCTTAATATATACAGGAACCTTTATTAAAAAAAAAACGAACCCTTTTGGTAACTGAGTTTTTAGTGATTTCAGTTAGATCCATCTTAAATTAATTTCGTGGAAGGTGTATCGGACTTAAGGTTGAACTATCAAATCCTTCTTATATATACAAATTTCAATTTGTTGTTATTATTTTTTTTTCTTATTACTGTTTTGAAATATTACACATTAACATGAGAAACTACCACTTTGTTATCTGATCCAGATTGAGTTGGATAAATATTTTTGGAAGGTACATGATTTTAGTTGTCTATAATTTACTATGTTAAGATTAAGGTGGGAAAAAAAATGAGTCCAATAAAATTTTCTCCTCTCCTCGTGTTTATAAAATTTTCGGCCGATTATTTATTTTCTTTTTCTTTCCTCGAACCTTTTGTGTTTAGAAATTTTGTAGTAACTCTACTAAGGTATGGAACCATACTGCTTAAGATAGTACACGGCCATCTCAATTTTTAACCTGCAAGTTTTGACATTTTATGCACGAATATTCTTGTCTATCTTGTCATTTTCTATACTACTATAACCGTGCTGCTTGTATTTGAGAGTATAAATTTTTTGTTTTGAGTAGCATTGATTAAATTATAAAGGGGCATAAAGTGTTTTAATTTGATGCTATTACACCATCAAAGTACAGTTAGCTAATTAATATGAAGGGAGAAAAATCAATAAAAATAGTGAGACTAGTTTCCTGGATATCACATGTTCGTGTTGTTCTTCTCTTTCAAGGAAGACACAAAGTTTTTCATTTTGGAAATTCCAATTTCATGAATTAGGGGGAAAAAAATTGCTACCATCTAAACAATCTTCCAAATCAACATTTATTTGTAAAGATCGCCTTGTTTCATAGTACTCAGGTAGTTAGGTTATCTCTAACTACAATACTAGCAAGGCTACACTAATAGGAATTCATTTATTTGTCTGAATTAAATATATGATGATATGTTTTTGTCAAATCATATAAACACATCTTGACAACATCACAATACACTATATTAGCAAGATATTTGCCTACCCATCGACTCGACTCAAAGAAAAGAAGTTTGGTCAACCAAATATATGATTTCTTTTTGATCGTGTGTAAGAAATCTGTTTTCTATGAAAATATATATATATATACATATATATATATATATGTTTGTTGAAATAGAAGGACATAATAACTTTTACAATATAAACACAAAATGAAAAATATTTTACATAGAAACTTACCCAAAATTGCACGTTTTTCTTCTTTTTTAATTTTGTATTACAAGTTAAATGCTCAATTTTAAAGCAAAAGTAGTTGAGGGTTTCATGACTGAATAGGCTGTTCAACATGAATTATTTGAATATGGTACTAATATTTCTTATATAGTAAAATTCAGTTGGTCAACAAATCCACTCTAGGAGAAATCAAGAAAACTATGAGAGACATTTAGTGCAAAAAAGTATTGATCCCGACCTCTGAATTTTGAAAAACCTACTGGGACAATTGTGCCAAGATCTTGAAAGAGTTCTTGAATTGTATATATGGGCCAGCTTCTGAAAAGGATAAATAGCCTTCAAATTCCACAATCCCCAAATATAGTGAATTGGCATTGAGCTCTTTAGTACTCTCCAAATCATCCCAGAAGATGTTAATTGTTAGACATAATAATAGGTTGAACTCTGCTCATCAATTTTTAAAACTATTTGTCGTTGGAAATATTGAATCTTCTTATATTCTCGGCATAGTGAGTTCAAAGCTGTCACTCTTTATATTTAATGTCTTACTTCTTCATCCTTATATTCATCCAATCTAATTAATGTGAAATTTAAATTATTGCAAATTAAATTTTATTGCGTGAAAACAGGGGAAGTGGAGCATCCATGATGACAAAAGCGACGATTAGCTCCCACACATCGGTGCTTTATTATCGTTAT